GTATTGATGGTTTAGGGTATACAATCAACAACATATACTAACTTAATATTGTTGATTGAGGGTAAGGCTAAGTGTATAGGATATATGTTATTGAGTAAGTTATGATTGAAGTAACAATAATTTTACTAAATTTGATAGCTAATCTTTAATGGTTCAATTTTTAGGATAATTAGAACAATTTTACAAACGACTCGTTTGGCAACAGTTTACTGAAGTTATTTGGACAATGAGTTATTTCGAAATAACTCCTTTTATCACTATGCTTTTGCCAAATACCACATACCAAATACCAGATTTGCATGGTTATACTAAATGAGATACATTAATCCAAATACTACTGAATTAATACTAAAATATCAAATAAACAATTAATGTTGTCTTTTGGTTGCAAATATTGATATCACCATTACTATTAGCTATAATACTTTACCAATTATGATTAATTACATAACAAGTTTGCAAGTCATACAAATTGATTTAACATTTTGACTAGTTTTTTTCAAAAAAATAAAGTATATATATAAGAGGTAGAAATAAATTGGTTAAAAAGTTGAGAAAATATTTTAAATTAGTGTAATAAAATGTGTAAGTTGGTAATGAGTAATGAGTTAAGTTACTTGATGCGCTGGCCCGAACAACCCGAAACCTGATCCGCCCGCAACCCGCCCGATCCAAAACCCGATAAACCCGCAACCTGATTTGCCCGCAACCCGATTGAACCCGAACCCGAACCCGATGAACCCACAACCCGACTAACCCGAAACCCGTTTGAACCCGAACCCGATGAACCCGAACCCGATGAACCCGCAACCCGACTAACCCGCAACCCGTTTGAACCTTAACCCGATTGAACCCAGCCCGAACCCACCCGAACCCGCCCGATTGACACCTATAGTTTTAATAGGGCCTTGTGAGATATTTCAAATTATTGTGATCCTATTATCCCTATATATTTTCCATAGATATGAATATTTTTACATGTCTCTTGGACAAATTTGCTAATGCTGGTTGTTTTCCCTACCATCCTATATTTTCCCTGATGACCTTCTGGTCTTTACTTATGCTTCAAATTATGGGATCCAAGAGTTGCATAGGATACTGAATCAATTCAAAAAGATTTTTGAAATTCAAACCCTAGTAAATGTGAGATTTACTTTGGAGGGTTTGAATAGGAGAAAGTAAAGAGAGATGCTCTATATGTATATCAATTAGGAGCATTCCCTGTAAGATACTTCGGTTTCCCACTCATATCTTGAAAACTATGTTGGCTGCTTGCCAACTTCTTATTGATAAACTTGTCGTAGAAGTTAAAATTTGGCAAGCAAAGTCTTTCTCTTATGCATGCATGATTGAGTTAGTTGGGAGTGTTCTGTACAGTTTGACGCAAATATTTAGATTATTATTCCTTCTCCCTAAAACATTGATCCGAGAAGTAGAAAAGATATGTAGTGATTTGGTTTGGGTAGTTAGAACATGAGCTAAACTTAGAGCTAATGTTGTCTGGAAGAAGCTTATCTTCCCCAAAAAAGAAGGTGGCCCTGGAATTTAGGAATATGATCACTTGGAATGTTGTATGTATGGTGAGACATATATGGATGATCCTACTACAACAGGGTTCCCTTTGGGTGTCATGGGTTGGAGGTTACAAACTAAAAGGAAGGGATTTATGCACTTATTTCTGTGGTTCTGGTTCCTGGAATTGGAGGCAAATCCTCAAATTCCATCCTTTTGTTTGTGTTAGAAACCCTTTTTTATTAGGAAAACGGGTTTCTATATCATAATCATTATTGTTAGGTTTTATTAGATATGGTTAGTAGTCTTCTAGTAGAATTAGGTTTATTCTTAGGGTTTTCTAGTATTTCCCTATATATATGTACTTTGGGTCATTCGTCATATCAAGCAGAAGTTAATAAAAGAATTATCTATTTAATCCCTCTTTCTATCCTCTCAATTCTTGACCTCAATCCCTCTAAAGGCTTAAGCCGATTCTCTTCTATTCTCCCCCAATTCTTCTTCCAAATCCCTAATTCTATCTTCTCAATCCCTAAATTCCCAAATATCACCCAATAAGAATCCTGTTAGAAACTTTGTTTCTAACATCTGGTATCAGAGCCTGGTTCCGAAAGACGAGTTTATCACAACTCTCTCAGGGACAGTTCCTACCAGATCAAATGCAGATGAGTTCAACCGATATATCAGAGCTGACGTGGGCTCAAAAGCAAGAAAAGATGTGGCAGATTGTGGGCTATTGGAAGGAGAGAGCGGTGCGCGGCGCCGCGGCGGGGAAGGAAGACAAGTGCGCAGCAGGGGCGGAGCTGGCGCCGCTCGACGAGGCTGTCCGAGGCGGGGCGGAGGCCGTGCGGCACGCTGCGACGTCCAAAGCAGCAGACGGTGGCGCGGGGAACGGCTCGCTCGACGGGGCTGGCCGAGGCGGGGAGGAGGCGGCGCTACGCGCGGCGGCGTGGAAGGCAGGGACGGCGAGAGCAGGCGGCGACATTGCTTCCTTACGCTCAAACCCTAGGGTGGCCTCCAACCGCGTAACACCACAGCAGCAACTATGTTCGTTGGGCCGAAACCTCCGGGCCGCAGGTCTGAAGAGGCAAAAGGGAGTGGGCCTAGGAGAGGAGATGAGACCCATCATCCTTGGTCATAGGTTGGGCCGCATGAAGAGAGGTGTTGGGCTCTCCTTGCTGCGAAAACAACAGCAGCAGCAGGCCACATCATTGGGCCGAGCAGAGCGACGGGGCGGGCTAGCACGAACCGCCCTGGACTGCGTACGCACAAACAAGCAGAGAGACTCCATAATGAAGATGAGCCTCATATAAGCCCTATGGAATCTCTTTTACAAAGTGTAGGCTTGAATATGAAGAAAGAAGAATTTGTGGGCTTAGGTGAGCACCCCAATTCTTACTTGGTGGTTTATGAAAAGGGGGGTGGACAGTCAATAGGACATGCTTACGACGCGAACCACATGGATAAGGAAGAAGTCATTGGAGTTGAAGTTGTTGGCGTGGGATACGTTCGAGTAGTAGAACATATTTGGAAGAAAAGAAAGCGCAAGAAATGGAGGCAAGACGTGGATTGCACGGTAGACATGAAGAAATGGATTGAGTTGATCAACCTTGAGGGCAAGGTTGGTTTCAAGGGGGATCGGATGTTAGAAACACGTTTTCTAAGGAAAACGGGTTTCTATATCATTATCATTATTGTTAGGTTTTATTAAATATGGTTAGTAGTCTTCTAGTAGAATTAGGTTTATTCTTAGGGTTTTCTAGTATTTCCCTATATATATGTACTTTGGGTCATTCGTCATATCAAGCAGAAGTTAATAAAAGAATTATCTCTTTAATCCCTCTCTCTATCCTCTCAATTCTTGACCTCAATCCCTCTAAAGGCTTAAGCCGATTCTCTTCTATTCTCCCCCAATTATTCTTCCAAATTCCTAATTCTATCTTCTCAATCCCTAAATTCCCAAATATCACCCAATACGAATCCCGTTAGAAACTTTGTTTCTAACAGTTTGTCACTTGTTCTCTGTGAGCAATGGACAGGTTTATTGGAATGCCTCTCTAATGTTTATGTATTCTATAAAGCGTGTTTGTTAGGTAATCAGACCTAGACAAGCGTGAGTCCCTTGGGTGAAGGTTGTTTGGAAAGGAAATGCTATTCCTCAGAATAGAGTCCTAACATGGCTGGTTATTCATGGAAGTATATATACAAAATAAAGGTTTTTTGTATTGGGGCTATACAGGACCACTTCATTGTTTCTTTTGTAATGTTGGGCTGGAGACTGGGAAGCATTTGTTTACATCTTGTTGGATTACTAAGAAGCCGTTTATTGAGCTCTTTAGCATGTTTGCACAACATGTTCCAGCTCCTAGCCGGAAGGCTGAGGTTGACTAGGTAATTTATGACAAAAGGGCAACATTAAGATTGGAAGGTAACTAGAGAAAAAACAATTCATTGACAAATGATTAGGGGGAATAGAGTCATTTTGATACCAAACAATTTATCCAAAAGCCTCAAAGCAAAGCAACTCTATGAGACCTACTTGCCTCTATCTCCTAATTTGGTTATCCTACTCACATCTCATTTTGTGAGATGGCCTTCCACATCCCACCAACTAATTTGGAGGGTTGGGATTTCTTGATTTTGGAAAGGAATTGGGTAAGAAAAGAGAAGAGGAGCCACACACTTTTTAAGAAGGTAATCCCATAATCTAATTGACATTTAATGTCCACTCACTTTTCTCATTCTCCCCCCCCCCCCCCCCCCCCCCCTCTTTTCCTCTCTTGATCTTAGAGATGAGAATACTAGTTCAGATATTCAGAATACTTCTTTAGCGTGTTTGAATACTTGTTTGACGTCTATTAATACGTGATCATTTGTGTGGAATATTTCTTCATCTTAGAGATGATAATACTAGTTCGACAAATTTGAATATTTGTTCGCTTTGAACACTGTGTCAATGCTTTTAAATAATCGTTCGACACCTAATAATACTTATTCATAGGGGTCGAACAAGTGCTACCACTACCATTTGGCAACTGGTAGTGGTAGCGTATCACTACCATATGTGCGCTACCACTACCAGCTACCAAATGGTAGTGGTAGCGTATCACTACCATATGTGCGCTACCACTACCAGCTACCAAATGGTAGTGGTAGCACTATACTGGTGGCATAGCACTCGAAAAAATCACTACCACTGGACTAATGGATTTATATATTTTTCCAGGTGTCAGATAGAGTCTGCCAGAGAGATTTCGTCGGATCTGCCAGTCGGAGCTGAGTGACTAATGAAAAAAGAAAAGAAAGATACATGTATTTATTTATTTTTTTGGTGATATAATACATGTATTTAATGTTAAAAAAACATGTATTTAAAATGAATTTTTAATTCTCAATACGCAATTAATAAAAGAATTAATTAATATTTTTTTTTTTCATACTCAAATTACCGTTGGTTGTGAAACTCACAATCCTAGGGGAAGTGATGCTATCCAACCCCTACACTATGTTGTTGTATTACGCATTTTACGGACAAAAAAAAATGGATACGGTTCACAACCAACCATATAATAACAGCCTGCATTCGACGGTCACAATTTTAAGAGATTGCTTCCCTTCCAGCCAGCCCGACCCCGAACCCATAAAGGCAATCCAGGCCAACATCACAATCTCAGCAACCAACCAACTAAAAAGCCAACCAACATATGTGTATTTAGAGGCAGGCACATGAGGAAGAACCCCACCATGTGCAGCCAGTTTCCCTTTCTCCTTTGTGCCAAACAGCTAGCACAAAGCAATCGGAAACCATCTATCTGGAATGGATCTTCCTTCTCTAGTTAAAAAGTCAGTGCTATGAGTCATGACAAACAACATGTAGCAGCCCTCCTGCTGTCACCACAACAGAACAGAACAGAAAAGAATGTAAAAGGCTCTCAGCTCCCAGCCAAAAAAGAAGCAACTAGCACGACGATTGTGTTGTGTGGCGGCCGTTTGAGAATCCGTATTTCCCGAGCAGCCCCTGTAATGTAATCAACCAAGGATGCAAACGTCAGGCTGCTACTGTATCTAATCCGCAAAAGCAGTGTGCTTCCTCTTCCTCTGACCCTATCTCATTACGTCAGAAACAGAGCACCACATTTTGGAATCATTTCACTACCGCTTTTTATCAACTGGGTGGAGGATCATTTATCAATCAAACGAATCTTTGATTTATATCACAATTCGGCCCCTCCACTTCACTATCGGAAGTTGAAGAGATTATAAACTCACTAGTCAATCACCATAAAGATGGTTGGTTAATTGAAGTAAGTGAAGGTAAGGACTCAAGTCGACATTTGAGGAGAGCCCAATAACTCCAAATATTTTTAATGACATCCACCTAGTTTCAACTGAAATTACACAGATAACTGCCTCACTACTCAGATTAAGGTGTAGGTTAAAAGGTGAAAGGCAAGTAGAGTCATACCATGGAATCATTGATTGCAATGGCCACACAGTAGTGCTCCTGAAAAACAAAACAGCATCCAGGACAAGAAGCATCAACGCATTTGACACAGGACAGCTATCAACCACCCTAGAAAAAGCCTGATTACGAAACGCTGCAAGATGGGAATTCTTTTCTATTTGGACATTTATTATTATTATTATTATTATTATTATTATTATTATTATTATTATTATTATTATTATTCGAAAAGAATCTATATGATACTTTTCACGCCCTGCTACCTAAACATAAGACAAATAAGGATAAAAAACACAGAGGAAGGCCACAGTAGTTGGCTTGCCTGCATCATGTGCCATTCTTCGAACTCGTCGAATAGCTCCAGCCGTTCGATCCTAACAACCAAAACATGGAAGATGAGAGAAACTCAAAAGACAATATTTCGGATAATGATCAAGGCAATCAGGAAATACTTTCAAAGACTTTATGCCTTAGAAACCCAAGACCCCCATGAACTAAGGGGAAAAACAATCTAAGGGGAAAAACACTTGCATATACAAACAAACTACTGCAACCTGATACAAATGTCAACTAACCCAGCTCTTGCAACTACTATCGCATCCTGGTTACAGATTTTTCTCCAACATCTGGACCTCAAAGAAGAAAACGCGAGCACTATGTCACGTCGCAAAAACAGTGCAAATAGGTTTCTCGTTTCTAAAATCGAATTATATGAATACTAGTTGCAAAAGCAACGGTGCCATGTTGCTGATTTGCGCAATTGCCAGTCATTACTTTCAGACCCAAAATACACTGAATTTCCATGTTTTACAAAACCATGGAATTTAAAAATGTTGGAATTTGTCTGAATTTCCATTTTTTACAAAACCAAGGAATTGACTTGTGGAAATTGAAAAAAAAATCACGTTTGGATAGGGTTTAGTTTTGTGGGAATTGATGGTGTGGAATTTGGAAAAAGAAGTAAGAAAATGTGGTAATGTTAAATTACTAGGGGGAGGTGTAGTATTCTCAATTACCATAAATGTGGTAATTGAAGCCAATTTCCATGGTCCAATTCCCATACCCTTTTTGCTCTCCCAAACGTGGGGTTTTAACCCAATTACTGCATTATGTGGTAATTTAGTCCAATTACTGCATTATGTGGTAATTGAGTCCAATTACTGCATTACATTTCCACATCCAAACGACCCCTGATACTGCTAAACCAAGTATTGTCCAAGCACATCCTAATAAAATATAACTGGCCGGGTTGAACAATAGATGCGTTCGAAAACAACTAGATTTTGAAACATATCAGACACATTCAAGAAACTAACAATTGATGAGCATGAAAAAACCAATTGAACAACTTACCTGCGCTTTTCTGGAACTTCAATGAAATCACTATAAACTTTAAGCATGTCCCAAGCAACAGCTCTCTGGATCCTCATATATAGTGTAAAATGAATGTGAACGTCAGTTTGAGTGAAATTCCAAAAGAAGTAAAAACGAGGCTTAAATGAAGCTACACCTCCTGTAACAAAATCCCACATTAATAGATTGTAACAGCAACATTAGGATATTTTAATTTCCTGTGTCACATCTACGACCTCCCCAAAGATTTAAGATTCCAGGAGCAAATACGAATTTAGGTTTAGACAAACATTTTTTAGGGCACCTCAAGCTGTCTGTGTTAAACCTTGATGCAATTGATTGTACAAAGCCCTGATTTAAATTCTATGATAAGGAATGTCATAGTCAGGTTATAAGAAGTATTTCATAGTAATCTGAAAACACATTCTCCTCAAAGCAATAGGAAAATTTTCTGACAACAGATTAAATGACAAGTCAATCCAAAGAGAATCAACATTATACCTGCCATCCCTGTTCGATAAAAAGTCTTTCTTTTGCAAGTAGAGTGGGTGTGGCGTAAATACCCAGTAGTGCACACCCTCGACTCTGAAAGAAGACATTTGCAAGAAGAAACAACAAAGATAAGGTCTACTATAATCACAAAAATATCTGCTCTAGTTCCACTTATGACTTAGTACTGGAAGATGCTACATAGAAAAGTCCAATACTCGACAATTTAGAAGGGGTGCATGTTAAGGTAGTCAGTGAGTGATCAAGCGAAGCAGGCAGAGTAATGGCAAGGTTTTAAGGACAGAAACAACGGAAGCCACCAAATGAATTATACATGAAGCAAACTAGTGAAAATATAAAATAAAAAAGGCAAATTCTAACCTCCAAGTTCCTTATCATTTGCTGGCCAAAAGCATCATCTGGGTGAATCTGAAGAGTAATCATCATAAAGTGTAAACATTACAAGGAATTGGTAAAACATTGTTTGATAAACAAGGACCAGCAAAAATAGAAGAAAAACCAAATGTGCGAACACAGACATTTAGGCTTGGGAAGACTTAGAACCTGCTCATATAGGAAAAAGACAGCTGTTGAAAATGATTTTGAAGCCCAGCCAACTATATCGCGGGTTGAATCTGGATCCAAGTATATCAAAACACATTCTGCAATTATAAATGTTGGCAAGCTGATGAAAGTATCAGCATAGAGCACCTTTAACACTAGCTCAGTATAAAAAATAAAGATCATTGAAGACGAGCTGTTCCACATGTAGCATTCACATAATGTAAATGACACCTTGGCATACCTAGGATCCATATTAGCTGAAGCTATGACATCATCCAGCTTTGGTATGTCACGCAAGTCAACTGGGAGAAGCTTGTAATGATCACCAAGCACTTCCCCTTTCTCTGAAAAGTTAAAGATGCCAACTAGTGAGAAACCAGAAGTGGAAGCAATTTAGGTCACCTTGAAAAGCAAGCCTTTTGCATCGCCTTCATAAAAAAAAAGCAAGTACTTCATCTGTGGAGGATTCATGAGAATCATAATATCCTACAAAGGTAACTCCATTCAAGACACATCAAATATTAGCTCTTGCCTCGAGAAATTGAAGCTGCAGCACCAAGTTTGTCTCGCAGCTGACTTTGGGTTTCAATGATTGCTGCTTTTTTGCTAGTGACCTAGCAAAAGTGTTTCAAATCCGTTGTTAGCTTGTCACAGCCCAAAGGTTTGGCAAGAAGAAGAGAAAGAAATATTTTTTCCTCCATGGACTCAACAACAAGTTTGTGGAAAGATTAAAAAAAAACTCAGTTGAATGTAATGGTCAGAAGAGATAAGAAATCCAGAATTGCACCTCCTTGAAATCCAGCTCCACATACAAAAATGGTGCCTTCCCTTCGTCCTGTCAAAACGCAGTTTAACAACTCCATTTAGACACCAACCTAGTTCACTCTTCATGGCATAGTTAAGTTTAGCAATTTGAAGAAATTTGAAACTGCCACCAATATTAACAACGATTGGAAGAAACCAAACAGCAGTAAACCACATTTCTCAAATTTCAAGAGATTTTGTCCTCAAATGAGGCTGACTGGTCCTTTCCGTGAAAATAAAATATGCTTGTTAAAGTCAGGTGAGTCATGTCTGTCCACCTTGGATATTGCCCAATGTGGAAATGCACATACATCATCAAAGTTAGCAACTACGAGCAGGTAGCAACCCCAACTTAAGTAATTACCACTGACAACCATAGTACCTGCAACTGGAAGTATGTAGTATCAAAGCCTGCTCCAAGTGACAATATCTGCTTCTTCGTCTGACCCTTCTCATTACCATCAATCTCAGAATCGAGAAATTGAAAGAGGAGCTGTCGAAGAGCAGCCCAACGAGCAAAATATCCTGCAAATAAGCAGAAGCAAGCTGGAGACTTGAGTATTTGTTGAAAAGAAACGTTACCAAGTCAAAAATTTAAACCCATCCATTGCTTCCAAAATGAAATTATACCACGGTTGATAATTGGAGATCTTCTGACAGGCCTTCTCACAAATGAATGGATATAGTCATCTTTCATGTATCCCTTTTTCACACAGGACCTTCAGATCACCAAAACGAAAGTCAGTGCCCAAACAATTAAGGAAATTCTTAAGACCATAATGCAGTCTTCGTTTGAGCGAACTGTACATAACACTCCTTTATTTAAGAGCTGAAGAAGACCTAGTAAGGAAATACCCTAACAACGCATTATACTCAAATTGTACCGAGAATTTTGAATTGCGAATACCAAACAGGTACAAGAACGGAAAATTTTATCCTGGGCGTGAATTTCTCTTCAAGGCAGTATGGTTTATTCCTATCTCGGAGAACAAACGGAAAACCAGCGTAAAACGACGATCGAATTTGAGAACGGAGAAGAAGAAGGAAAGAGATAGAAGGAAAGGTAAGCATACAGTTTACTGGCAGAGGCGTCATCGTTGGTGGCTTGAACAGCTGCGGTGGTGCTGGTTGAATCGGCGACGGGCTTGGACTTGGACATTGTAGTTTTGCTGTGCGCCTAACGAAAATGACACAGAGAGGAGGGAAAGAGAACAGTATTCTTTCTGTCGACAATAACGAAAGGAACTGAGATGGCAATTCCGAAATTAATGGATGGTCTGAGGTTCTGGTTCGAATGGGCTCCCGCTGAACGATCAATATCTGGGCCAAATACTCCGCCCAAAACTCAACTATCTGGGCCTTTTGTAGACCGGATGATGGCAAGGTGTAGGAGATGCTATGCATAATTTTTGGGTAAGTGATCATATTCATAGATATGACTGTCATGACTCGTGATCTAAAAAAAATGCTCTGTGGCGATTGGTTTTGCCACCAAGATCACGAAACTTCTGTTCTTGTAGTCGCCGTTTTCTCGGTACCTGATCTTTCGACTCCATGATCTAGTTTTAGATTATGGGAGTCATTGTCGTCACAAGAATCCCCTCTGCTTCGCACTTACAATTGGCGATATATATGGGTGGTTGTTTTTCAAAAAGATAGGTTTATAAATGGGGGTATTGTTCAGTTTCGTTCTGGATTTTCCTTGTTTCAACTCCTATGTCTAGTTTTCTTCTACAGTCTCTTGATTGTTCTGGTTTGGTTCTTCAATTAGGTTTCCCGTCAGTCCATTCAACATCTGGTTGTCAGCATGGATCCAATGGATATAGATCAGGTGGTCAATTTTGAAGATTCGGATGTTGACATTGGTCCCGTTCAGGCGCAGATAAGTTTGGTGGGGCGTCTGTTTGCGTTGCGTCCCTTGTTCCGCCTAACTATGGATAGCATGGCTAATGGAATGTGGGGTACACCGACATGTCCGATTATTGTGCATTAAGATGAGAATGGTCTGTGGAGGTTCATTGTGGTGTATAATCAGGGCCGGGAACGAATTGTTCGACGCTCCTCGTGGACGGTTGTGCTGCATCTGATACCTTGGGCGCCGATTACTCCTACTCTGGTAAGGAAGCTTGCTCGTGTCCCTTTCATTGTTTACAAGTCAAGAACTCCTCCACATATGTGTACTTTGAATCTGGGTCGGCGATTTGCTAATCATATGGATGGCGACGTTGAGGCCCGGGAGATTGGTCTGTTTGCGAGTAACCCTGGTCAAAGCGATGTTTTTGTTAAAGCCACGGTTTTCATTGATGCTGAAGCTCCACTCCGTTCGAGGTTATTTGGGCAAAATGAGAATAGGAGAGGCTTATGGGAGAAACTAGATTATAAGTATATGCCCTGTTCTGTTTCCATTTTGGTTGCCTTGGTCATGGAAAACCTCAGTGTAACTTTCCTCCGCCCCCTCCTGGTTCTGAAGTTTACGACGCGTCAATGATTCTGGTCCAATTGTACACATTTTACCCCCGTTTTCCTTAGGCGTTTGATACATTTATACTCCGTGAGGTGTGGTTTTACGCTAGATTGCGTCTTGTTTTAGTATGTTTCATATTCTAGCAGGTGGAACTGACCCCGGAATCGAAAGTGGGACGGAAATGAGCGAAAATGAGTCGAAGGGTGGAGGCAGCTGTGGATCACGACCAATGATGATTTTTCAAGATCTTAGGATAGTGAAAAGGGCTCCCAGACAGTGAAGTGCCAAGGGTCCAGAAGTAGTTGCACACCTCGCGGGTTACCAGCCAGTTCACGGTCGTAAGACCGTGAACCAAAGCCCCAGACCGTGAACAGACTAAATAAAACAACACAGATCTGCTCGACGTCACGGTCCAGGAGGAATGTTCACGACCGTGAACTGGGACCGTGAAGTGACCACGACCTGGGTATAAAAGGAGGGCTGAGCTGAAGGAAAAAAGGGGGGAGACCTAGTGTGAGAAACTTCTTCTTCAGATTTCTAGTACGAGAAAGTGACGAACCAAAGAAGAGAAGAAGTTAGGGTTTCATCTTCAAGCATGGTTTTGGGATTTCCTTCTGATTTGGGCCTAAATGTACATTTCTTACCCCCGTTTTCCTTAGGCGTTTGTGGCAACTTCGCTCCTAAAAGGTTGCTTTTACGCTAGGTTTCTCGTGTTTTAGTTTGTTTCAGGATTTAATAGGTGAAACCAGCCTCGGAGTCGAAAGTTGGACGAAAAGGATCGAAAACCGGGAGAATAGGTGAAAAACAGTGAGTTCACGGTCAATGCAGTCAAAATCGCGCTTTAAAACTTAAAAACTTACGATTTTACGCTTCTAGGTCACCAAAACGCTTTCGTTTCTATATAAAATCTTTATTGTATAAAATCAGACTAAATTGCGTTTTAAAGTTTAAATGCTTACGCTTTTACGCTTCTAGCTCACCAAAACGCTTTACGTTTTTACGCTTTTAGTTCACTAAATTGGTATTCTTTTCATGAAATTAATTATAAAAAATATATTTTAAAGGCAACTCACCAACAATATGATATATTTGATATTAAAAGATTGCAGGTCTTGGATGCATTCCAGCTTCAATAGAGTAATCTAATTGACGAGTTCCCAAATTCATTAGCATAGAGGGGGCGGTGGCTTATTGTTAATATATATGTTTATGAACTTATTGTTAAGATGCTATGAGTTGTTGTACTTTAGACATGAATTGCAGGTATTTATTAACTAATCTAAATTCTGTGCACTCATATTTTACATAGTATATGTCGTACCTAAAAGATTTTTTAGCTATTTTACACTATCGTAAAAAACTTATGTTTTTACGCTTTGATTCTACGTTTTACGATTTTACCCCTTTTCGCTTTTAGTTAGAATCGCGATTTTAACCGCATTGTTCACGGTTTTTCTTGGCTGTTCACGGTTTTGTATGACCGTGAAGAAGAGCCATTGGCCGTGAACTTTGAGGAGTCTAGAGCCAAAATGCAAGTTACTGACGCCAATTGTGTTCACGGTCGCTAAGACCGTGAACAGGAGCTGTTGGCTGTGAACCAATGGAAGCAAAGCGGTGCATTTCGGCGCCCATCTTCAGTTCACGGACGCGTTTCAGAGTTCACGGTCGTGAACTGAGCTCTTCACTATTTAAAAGCTGAGTTGAAAGGAGGAGAGAAGAGAGAGCCCATTTGAGTGAGAAAGCCTTCTTCTGATTTCTAGAGAGAGAAACACGAACCAAAGAAGGAGGCTAGGGTTTTGCTCCAAGGTGGATTTTGGGAAGATTTTCTCCAAGGAAAGTTCAACACAAGGGGCAAGAAGATTGGAAGCCTCCTCCAAGATGGTTTCTACCCCTTCTCCTTGTGTTTCTCCCATTTCTAGCATGGAGTAGAATTCTTTTGACTTGGGTGTTGTGAAACCCTGACTCTACCATGTAGTTTTCTTCTATGTGAATTGGATGATTGGGGTATTGTTTAATTCAAATGTTTGAGGTATTATTCATCTTGATTGTGCATGTTTGTGCTTAGCATCCTTAGGTTTGTTCATGATTGGTGCTTAGCAACCTAAGGATTGTGCATGTCTATGCTTAGCAATCTAATTAGCCACTTAACCTAGTCTAGAGAGGGAAACCCTCCTTCTAAGGGATTCTCAATTGAGTTGGTATCCCTAGGGCTTTTAAGTCTTCTAACTAGGTTAATTTAGGGCAAACTTCAATATTGGATTAAGCAATTTGGTTAAGCGCGATTAAGCCATCCAACCCTTGGGTTGAGTGAGGGAGTAAGTCAACCATTGATTGCCTAAACAGAGAGGGCCTAGTGACAGCCTATAATGCATGCCTCGATTTAGCAATCATGAGCGTGGTCTACGACCATATTTGCGTCCCTTAGCGGTTAGCGATCACCTTGCCCATAGCAATCATTTCGATTCACATAGCATGGTAGTAGTTAGGGGGAAGCGACACACGAGTGATCCTTCCACAAAAGAGCTTTCAAAACCATTCACCTTTGTATTGTTTTAGTTTAATTAGAAAACTTTTCAACCAAAACTTTATTGCTAGATAATGATTCAAATGACTGAAGTAGGGGTAGACTGACCGGCCAGGGTTGATATTTAAACATACTTATCTTGTACTGCACCCGACTAAGGTTTATACTTGGACCTTAGGCGGGCAATTATTGTGGCATTCGGGATGAGTCACCTTCCCCAAAGGAGGATCTCTTCAACACAAGGAGCAAGGATAGCATCTCCATGATGGTTTCCCTTCTCCTAGCATGGACTAGTCCCTTATTTCACTTGGGTGTTTGTAAACCCTGTCTACAATTATGTGAATATTTGTATGGGTTGAATGATTTGTGTGAGGGTGTGTTTTAATACAATGTGATGAGGTATTTTCATGAAGATTGATTTTGTTTGTGCATTTCAATGTCTTATGCTATCTTAACCTAGGTAGAGGGAAATCCCCTTCTTTTGAAGAGCTTGTAAAAGCTGGATTTCCTTGGGCAATCTTTGACTCATGCTTGGATTAAACTATTGCAAACCTCTTAATTCGTATTAGCACCTAGGGTTGGTTGTAGTTTGTTGTCTAAACTCCGATTCGAGGGTGAAGTCTGGGTAATCCTTAGTCAATAGGTCAAGAGAGCTACTTTGGAAACTTGAATTGAATTCCCTTAACCTATTAACAGAGAGAGTGGCATGTGTTCACTTGTTACACTTCCCTACGGGTTACAACCGCCTTACCACACGTTTACATTCGACCCGACAAGTCATAATTGCTAGCTAGGGGGAGCAACACCCAGGTGAAGCCTTCTCAATTAGTGTCAAATCCATTTAATTTTACAAATGTTTTAGTTATAGATCGTTGTTCTCACCAAAAACCAATCACTAGATAATGTTTCAACAAACGAAGTAGGGGTACATGGTCCGGCCCGAGTTGATATTTAAACATACTTGCCTTATATGGCACCCGATTAAGGTTTTATACTTGGGCCTTAATTGGGGTTTTTATTGTGATATTCGGGACAAGTCAAGTTTTTGGGGCCGTCGCCGGGGAACCTTTGGTCCGTTATTTCGAAAAGATTGTTTGGTGTTAATCTAGCTTTACTGTTTGCTTTTGTGTGTGTGAATCTTACTTGTGTTAGCCATGTTGTGGTTCTTTTGAGTGTGTGCATGAGGGTGTATGACCCAGAGTAATCCGACACCTTTAGCGCCACTAGACCAGAATC